AAATCTGCCAACATGGACACCAGACTTCCAGACACTAGAGTCCGCCTTCTGCTTCCGCAAAAGTGCGTACTATATGGTTCCGATTGATAATGAACAATTCATATATAATCCCGTTTTTGAGGTACGAGCAAACATACATAGCGGGATTCCGGCGGCACCTTCGCACACTCTGGAAGTACGTGGCAATATGATTCCAAGGCTAGTGCAAGAAATTCTTCCGGGGTCGCAGCTTCCTATCAGCGCGGTGGGGGGCTCGCGGGTTATGGATGACGACATTGTCGCTCATGCTCGATTGAAGCTACTTCCGTGGTATCTCAAGTGCCACGGCTTTGCTTTTGCGGAGGCCTCTTCCGCACCGTCCGCGGAGGACTTTGGAACACTTCTGCGACATGGATCGACTGCTGGAGGTCTGGCTGACATCTATATCGGCAAAGAGGCATTACGAGAAGCTGCCAGAGAGTTCTTCGTTATTGGAGAGGTTCCAAATACTCTGGACATGGAGCGGCAGGTTGACCACATGCTCGACAACATTCACCAACGCATTGACCAACTGTGGGATGATCTCCATCTATACTTGAGAAATTACCTGTATACATACGATATTGACCTCACGCAGATCATGGCCCGCTTCGACGACGACAGTCTTGGATGGGTACCGCAAGCAACCGAGCCCGGGTATCGCGTCTGTCTGTTCGCTGCCGCACCTTTCCCGTTCATCGTACGGCCGGCTGGAGAGGGACGGTACAAGCTGATGGGGGATAGTTACGTTCAGGGTATCATGGATGGTGCATTTTTGATGGACGAAAAATCTTTGCGAGAGTCCTATACAAGAGATCTGGAGGGTGAGGCCGGGGAGGGAGAGACCGGGATCGCAGACAGCGAAGGTGACTCCCAAGTGGTGGAGGGCGAAAGCGAACAGACAGATGTTGAATGGATATGTTTGATATGAGATACTCATACCATATCCACTACCTGGCAGCAGTAACGAGCATCATTGTTCGAGCTCGAAGTTGAGCTGCATACCGACATCGCGCGCCTTACGTCAGTGGTGCCGTCCTCTAGGGCCAGGAGGATTCTCCGGCGCACAGGTGGGAGGGGAGTGGAAGTAACTCATGGGTATATCTATCAGGATCCTGGTGACCAACTCGTCTTTCACACCAGGCGACCTGCGTGGAGGTGCTTCAGGATCGCGAAGTGCACCCGCAAACACTTCAGCTTGGGCAACATGCCTGGCAGGCACCTACATACCAAGGTAGCTAGCCCACTTCTTTTCCCAATCACTAAAGACTCAAAGTTGCATTGTGCTCCATGGCGCTATTGCAACTCTCTCGTTGGAATTCTACCAGCACTTCACACCAACATGGGCTTGTTGAAATTACCATTCTTGGAACTGAGCTTTACTAACTTTGGTATCTGCAGGATGGACCTTTTGAGTCCATGACCCTTGCCGAGTATCATAGGGCTGTCCAGTACAACACCCGGGAAACGGGGAACTTACAAGGCGGCCGAGTCCCTTCAACTCGACCTCGACTCCTTCACAGTGCTGCTGTCTTCGCTCTCCGGGATCATCGGGCACATTGGACAGGCCAATTATACCATCCCCCCATAGAAGTCGGCCACCCCCACTAGTCGGCCAGCCAAACCCCACTATCACCACCAAAACACCCCCTTATTCACCCACATGTAAAAGAAGTCATTTATATCGGTGAATCTTAGCAATATTGTGATGGTTCCACCATCCATCAGGTCTAGCGATGGTCCCTATGGTCCCCGGGTCACGTGACTGAGCACGTGACTGATCGGACGATAGGTTGATCCATGCCCTGGTGGGTCTGGTGGGGGACGACTGCCCACATCTAGCTGCCCACCAATTCGGGTGTATCTCCAGATCTTTCTTTTCCTTTAACCAGAGTTTGTTATACGTCAATAGTTAATAAGGGTCCTGGTATCCTTGGAATACATTTACGGAATTGTGACACCCCTTGATAAACTATTGAGGTTAAAGGTCCTCCCTTTTAAAGATAATGCTTAGTTGAAAGATTTTTAAAATATTAAAAAGAAATCAAAAAAAGAAATCCACTTACAGCCTTAAAGGCTTTTTAAAAAGGCCTTTTTAATAACAGAACTACTTAGGATATAAAAAATCGATACTTATAAATGTAATTTAAAAAATTAAATTAAAAAGGTAAATAAGGTTATTAAAGCCCGATATTGTCACAGCGAGCATACTGGGAAGCTGGGACATGGCCTGCAGCAAGCAGCTATTACTCTATTGACGAGAATATCAAGACTAGAAAGGAAAGGAAGAGAGAGAGAGAGATAGGTACAGCGGGAGGTTGCCCCTTTAAGGAGATCCTCTGGTCAGATCCTTCCCTTATTGGGAAGTATTGGCTTGTCATTTGGGAAGGTCTGTACAGGCCGTCACAGATATAATGACACCTTTATTAACTTTGTAAGTGTTTTTTTTAGCTTTACCTAGCCGTAATTTTCGAGAATTTTAGAAAACCACTTAACTAATTTAAGCATAAAGCCTTTAAAGCGTGCTGCTTTTATCTTTTTACTAATCTTAGTCTTAATTTAAAGGTTATATTGTTTAAAGCCTGTTATAAAAGTACTTTTAAAGGGCCCTTTTTAATACTTTTTTTAGTCATCTTACGGATTAAAAAGTGTAAAAGAGCCAAACCTAGCTTTTTTTACAGTAAAATCCACTTAATCATAATCGTTTTTTATACAAAAAGGGTATTTTCTACTAAATATAGGTTTTAGTTTTAATCAGCTAGGCCTAAGCAAGCTTAGCAAGGCAATAAGGAGTAGTCTATAGCAATCTCTGCTATCAATGTAACGGCCTGCACAGACCTTCCCATATGACAAAGCCGATACTTCCTAATAAGGGAAGGATCTGACCAGAAGATCTCCTTAAAGGGGCAACCTCCCGCTGTACCTATCTCTCTCTCTCTATTCCTTTCCTCTCTAGTCTTGATATTCTCGTCAATAGAGTAATAGCTGCTTGCTGCAGGCCATGTCCCAGCTCCCCAGTATGCTCGCCGTGACAAGCACTATAAATTTTTCATTTGAAGTAAAAAGCGCAAGGTAATTAACAGCTAATCACGTATACTTTACAAGGTAAATGTAGCATTATAAAACTTCACGATTAAGGCTATTTAAAACATTAATTACATTTTAAGTAACTTCAATATCAAGCTAAAAGCATACAAGTAAACATAAAGGGGCTTAGGTGGTGGTGGTGGGGTTTGGCTGGCCGACTAGTGGGGCTGGCCGACTTCTATGGGGGGATGGTACTGCCGGTAGTGTGTTCTTGGACGCATTCGCCCTACCGCAACGCTCGTGGCCAGTCAGCTTGTTCCATAGATCTTGGCATACGCGAGGATGTCGGCGCCATCCCCGAGAGCACCAAGATCAGAGATTCGACCAATTCAAAGAGGTACAAGGGTTTGATCCAGGGGCAGCTGCGCAAGTTCTTGTATTTACACTGCTACAAGACAAGAAGGTTAAGAAGCAGCAGCCACCTCGGACACTCTTGCAGCTGGACAAGACCTTGGTTATTCTCCCATGGTCGACCTGGGAAATGGGTGCTTTATGCGAGTCCTGCGCCTTTCCGAGCCTATGGATCCAGGACGGCCGATCATAATCTACAGGACCACCTCCCTTGTGTCGGTCGAGGTGCGCAACTGGATTATGACCGAGTTGGGGGCGCTCGCCACGGCTCTGGATATCATGAATGCCACCTCGCTGACGTCATTTTACCACAAAATTATTGCAAAGCTTCTGGCAGGAACGGCTTGAGTGGGTTTAGAAGATACTAGACTGATATATGCGTTGTGTTGAGACACGTGGGCTGTTGGCCTCGGATTAATAAGGGGTTCCGATAAATCAGCCGCTCTTCAGCCTGGGGAACTCTTTGCTGTGAGCTGAGTCAATACTGTGGTCTGGTCTTTGAATTAATGATTGATTCTGCCTTTGCTTTCAGAAGAAGCAAGGCACTTTCTAGTCCTCACGGTCAGATTAGACATTGGTATCGAGATTGTTGATGGTGGCCCCGAGTCTCCTTGTTAGTGTTTATGATCTCATGGTCATCGTCCTAATCCTCACTTTCCCTGTCAACGACATGAACATATCAGATAGTCTTTCGTGGCTGGCAGTTCGTTTTGTGAAAACCCCTGCTATATACACGACACTGGTAAGCTTACAATTATCCCTATGCCCTTTATTCCTGGTCAGGTTCACCGGCCCCTCAGTGTGAGGTTCAAGCACGGCAGGTCGACGCCTTCCTCATGGAGCTGATGGCTTCGTCAATGTACTAAGCCAAGATGTCGTCGCTCGAGCTGTTAGAGCGGATGTTCCTGAGAATAATCGGCGCCAACAGCAAGTTTGGATACTTCGTGCCCACGTTCGAGACCGGCCGCACCGCCTGTTTTTAACGTCCCAACTGCTTTGGTACAGGGTTTACAGACGAATTCACTGCCGCGTCTCTCCCGTTACTTAGATCAACGGCAAGTCGTCGCCCCAACGTCTACACAGAATATATCACCTGGAACCTCACAAGTTTATCTGCTGTGCTACCTGGATCGCCCACAGAGTCACGGATACATCTCCTAGGAAACCCTAGTTGTTGACCGCATCCCACCTTGAGATCGACCACACATGCATATCCGAGCTCTGCTCCTTCCAATACCTGCCGCCCAGCCCAAAACATAACTGCAAAAAAAGGATTCGAAGATCCTCGCCTTGGAACGAGTCGCCAAGGACCCGTAGTAAGTTTCTTCACCTTTGAAAGCATCCAGCATCCCGTCCCCTCGGTATTTCCTTCCACTTTCCTTCCCACCACCATCCATCTCACAACCATTCATTTCAAACGAAATTTATCGCTGCGTACCTCAACAACTGCAGCTCCAATCGGTTCCCATTCCTTTACTGACGAATGCACGCGGCAGCGAACCCACAACTTCCGTCAACCAACTCGACCAACCCAACCCATCACGATGGCGCCTCCCACTCCCCAAAAGACCGACGCGCTCGACATGAAGCCTCGCGATGCCGAGATCATGGTCGCTGCTTTCAAGGCAATGGTGGAGAACCCCAAGGTAAGCCAAGCACGCGGATGCCATCACCGTCATCTCGCCCTTCCTCCACAATTCACTCCGTGGCATCGCGCTTACCAACATCTCATCAGTTCAACTACGACAAGCTCGCCGAGCTCGCGGGCTTCAACGGCAGCGCCTCCGCTAACGTGAGCTGGAACAACGTCCGACGCAAGTACTCTCTCTACCCCAGCGGAGTCAACCCGAGCTCGCCCGCCGCGAAGGGCAAGAACAGTACTCCCCGCAAGCGCAAGGCGGCGGGTTCCAACTCCACTCCTTCCAAGAAGCAGAAGTTCGGCGCGCATGGCTTCGACAACGCTGTTGATGACGACTCCGACGCCGACACCAAGGCGAAGATCGAGATCAAGGACGACAGCGACGACGACACCAAGAACGGTATCAAGAACGAGACTATCATCAAGGACGACAGCGACGACGATGTCAAGGAGGTACCGAAGCCGGAGGGAAAGTAGAAGCCTGAGGTAACTTTCTGGGATAGGAAGACACATTGCGTCAGCCATTTTACTGCTTGGGCTCACATTAGGGAGAGATAACTGCAACTAGCACTTGGGCGCCTACATAACGATTGGACATAAAGTTCATCGTCGCATTGCATTGAGGTAATGCCTTAGAGACACTTAGGATCAATCAAGGACCCGAGATCGGTCATGTCCCACACATGTACCAGTCTTACTGACTGATGCATCACCTACCAGAGGTGACAACCTAAATGATGACGTGAATTGGTTGGCCCGTAAGGCACCACATTGGCACGTACACTACAACAAACATGGGAGTCAACACATGCAGCAGCTGTCACCCTGCCAGTGACTAAGTCAGTGTTCATGTCGAGTGCTGAGATTGTCCATGAATTAAGGTACCTCCAGCTCAGCGCGATGCCTGAGGTACGAACCTTGTCCTGACATTTGACATTTCACAAACCCCCTACCAAGCCTTGCACCAGCCCCCCTTTTCATAACAACCGTACTTGTCAGGCTTCGCGACATCAACACCTTTTGAACTGGACACAACCCATTCAAACAGAAATACTAATCGGCATAGTTGCCAAGCTTCGTGACATTTAGACGCGCCAGAGACACTACTTCGTGACCCCTGCCCTCCTCCATATATAACCGCAAGCGTATACACAATCCGAATCCTCCCACTCCGATACGAAAGACCCGCTTATCAGTCGCACTTTGGCACAGGCGAAACTGACATTATACGTCCCAACCACCTCAGCGACCACATACCGCCGATCGCTGTACCTTGTTCCCGCCCGTACGCCTCTGTTGGCGACACCGCGCTAGGCATTATTGACCAGCTGGCACACGGCGCGGCTGTTGCAAAACTCACTCAAGCAGTAAAATCGTCTTTCAAATGTTGCCACAGTGTTAACAAATACTTCCAATTGAAGCGTGATCGAAGCGAACGGCGACAAATACTCGTCGGGCCTTCTGTCCAAGCAACCCTAAATGTATCATAAGATCTGTAAAGACAGTATCCTGTGCTGAATATATCGAAAAACCGTTTCCATTGGTATCTCTATTATACCCTTCCAATAACCCAAATCCAACCTGTGACCCATCACGATAACCCAAAACCCAAGACCCAAAACCCATCAAGACTTCTCCGTAACAACACCCTTCAAGCTGTCCCTCTCATCCCAAACAGCCCTTTCCAGCGACGGATACACGACATCCGCACCATCATCCTGCAGCCCATCGGCATCAACCAAATTCCACCTAGCCCTCTCAAACCTATGCCTTACCTTCGCCGTCAAGCCCACCATTCTCACCTGCACGCCGCGCCCCAACTGGCGATGGATATCGTCCTTCAATTCCGCCAGGGCCGTGACGCCCGTCACATCAACGAACGGCACGAGCGCAAAATCCCACACGACGACGCTCAGCGGCATGTCCTTGACCGCGACGTTCCGCTCGCGCCGCAAGCACGCCAGCCGCCGGTCTGCGGCCACGCTCCACGAGCGCTCCGCGTCCGCGCTGTAGTGCGGCGACTCGACGGCCGGGTACACGAGCTGGATCGCCTCGAGGGCGCGCGCCTTGTTGCGCGCTGCGTTGGGGAAGAAGACGGCGTCCGAAAATCGCACCACCGCCGTGTCGTCTGGGATCGTCATGAGGCCGCCCGCGTTCTCGGTGCCGGCGCCATCGTGCGTCGCGGCGCGCGCGAGAAACTGCGGCGGCTGGTGCGTCGTTGTGGAGGGGCTGGAGGAGGATTGCTGGTGCTGGCTGGTGGACACGGACGGGTTGGTGAAGGCGGCGCGCAGGAGCGTCCAGAATACGCTCCAGGCTGCGGCGGCGCCGATGCCGATCTCGGACGAGACGAAGATGGTTACCCACTGAGGAATGATAATCAGTAATCAGTGATGCGTATGGTGCGAAGGGCTTGGGGATTGACGATGGGTTTTCTTTACATGGGGTTCATGAGCTCGTTCAGGCGAGGCGACCTCGTCATACCCCTTCGGTGGGACGCACGAGCAAGGTCCTAATTATATATCGGGGAAGTAAATAAAGGGGTTACCTACGAATGCCACCATGCAGGCGATGAAATCAGCCAGGGAGACACGCCAGTACCGCCACACCAGCGAAAGCGGACCGAACAAGTGGATGACAGCCATGATCTGTGTAGCTGTCAGTTAGCACAGCCGCTCCCCCTCCTCTTGCCATAAGACACAGACAGAAATGCACCTACAATAATAGCAGCCAGCGTCGACTTGGGCAGCCAGTACAGCGCCGGCGAGAAGACAAACAGCGTCAAAATGATCCAGGCGGACGTGACGATGCCGTTCAGCGGGCTGCGGACGCCGCACTCGGAGTTGACGGCGGTGCGCGACATGGCGCCGCCGACAGGCATGGCGCCGAAGAAGCTGTTGACGATGTTGGTGACGCCCAAGTAGTTGAGCTCCTGCGTCTGGTCGATTACGTAGTGGTTGCGGCGGCCGAAGGCCTTGCCGACGCCCTGGTGCTCGAGCGTGCCGGCGATGAAGGGCGCGATGGCGCGGACGGCGACTTTCGATATCAGCCCGGCCGCGGGCGCCCGCGGCGTCACGATGCCGTCCGTGTCGACCTTGCTGATGCTCCACAGCAAATCGTCCGAGTCGCGGTCCTTGTTGACGCCCCACGAGATGAGCGTGAAGAGCGCGAGCACGATGATGGCGCGGCTGGCGCCCAGGTACTTGATGGCGAAGTGGCGGTTCCCCCAGCGCTTGCCGACCTGCTCGAGCCCCAACAAAATCACGATGGACCCGATGCCGATCCCGCACGTCGGGCCGTCCCAGTGCGGCAGGCGCCGCAGGATGTCGCCGATCTGGTTGAAGACGCCGTCGGGCACGTCGCTGAGACCCACCAGCGAGCCTACCTGGCCCATGCCGATGGTCAGCGCCGTCGCCGAGATGAAGCCCGTCAGCACCGGGATCGAGACGTAGTCGAGCAGGAAGCCGAGGCCCAGCAGCCCGACGGCGAGCGCCCACACGCCGACCATGAGCGCCAGGGCCGACGCGACCTGTGCGGCGCCGTATTCGTCGCCCAGGTCGGCGACGACGTCTCCGGTCAGGAGTCCGAGCAGTGAAGTTGGTCCGGTTGAGAGGTCTGTCATGCGTGCGTTAGTTGTCGCCTTTGGGGGATGCTTGGCAGGGGGCCGACAAACCCTTTGATGTCCCCATGAACACTGCCACGGCGGCTGGAACCCAACACGAGTAGAGACCATTCTCAATGGGTATATTGGCGATCTTGGCATAGGCTAAGCCTTGTGAGATGAGCATGACTCCGATCGTGAGACCGGCCACTGTGAAGATAGGAGTCAGTAAACCCCTTTTTCTATGTGTGTTTGAAAATCGCTTGACATTGAATGCTATCGTGGTGCGTAACTGTAGCTGCTGTGCCACTAGACGTGATGTTCAAAGAAACTAATGTGGTTGTTGCTTACTGAAGTCTGAAGGTAGCCATGATGCCTGGTATCGTGGGAGCCACTGAACAATGGGTAGCTTATCGAGGAGATACTGCTTAGCAGCAGATGGCAGCTTTCTCGGAGTCGTTCGAGCGTACTTGACGACCCTGTTGAGAGTGAAATCTGTCTGGATCTCCTTTCTGAGAGCATGGGCGTGTTTCTCCATGGTATCAACTTCGAGAACGACTGAGTGAAGGCAAGGTGCCTGTTGTCCTCTCGTGGCGAAAGACAGTTCACGACGAGGCGGTCGTGATATCAGACTTTTAAGCTAAGCCTACTCATACAGTAGTTGTTCTCCGGCATCAGATGGTTGCGTCCCCAAGGAGAAGGTTGTCCCCTACTACGTGCGGATTGATGCTGGGTTAGGGCTGAGGTAGCCTCGATTTCGCAAGATAGACTGCTTCTATCGACATGATCACACCCCCCTTCGGTGTATTCTCGCAGTCTGTCGGCATCACAGGCACTCTCACGTCACGGAAATTCTATTGGGAGTTCTATTCGGTCCCTTTGTGATCGAATCCGGGTGGGATGTTTGTGGCTGACATGGGGAAGACGGCCGTCAGGGTAGGCCTCGAGCTGTCAGGGGTTACCCAAACACCCCCAGCGCTCGCAGCAACCGGTCAGCCAATGGTCCCGGGAGAATTTGGAAGAGAGACAGCAAGAGTCAAGCGCTGGTCTGTATGGGCGCAGAGAAGCGGTCACCCAATCGCATCATGATACTAACGTGGGAGTCGAGCCGGGTGGCATCCGGAAGGCGGGGTTGGGACCAACGATACCGATCAGTAGAACACGAGAGTGAGCCGATGAGGGAATGCTATAGGTTCTGGAGCGAGGACGAACAGGTATTCTAGCCTGATCTGTCCACGAGATGGTAGCGCATCGCTGATTCCGTCCCATAACGGGTGCCTCTTGTAGTACAGCCGCTATGCAGCACGCGGCAGCCAGCAGCACCAATGATATTACTGTCTGGGAAGCCTGCGATGTTGGCAGCGTTCCAAGATCTACCCTAGATTGGAGAGTACTAAGGTCAGGGTTTGATATGGCCAACCCTAGCAACCTCTAGCGATGTTTTGACGACCAAGAACTTGATGGAATTGGTTGCGTGAGTATGGAGCACCGGCATGTCTGCTCACGAACTTCGTGATATGATCTCATATCCATGTACAGCCTCGACCAATATAGGGCTTTGCGCCGCCCTTCCGCATGCTGGCGAGTGATCGTAATCTGGAGCCAGGATTGGACCCGAAGCATACCTGCCGGTGCTGAGTTGTTGAAACCCATGCAGTCGAACATATCTGCCAAGACCTACATGTAGTAGTCGTCCGAACACTGAACCGCTACTACAAATCCAGTACCGCTCTATATGTAAATCATGACCAAAAGCGGTATACCGAACCTTCCATATCCCAGACGTCCCCGGACAGAGGTTCAAAAACAACAAGCTTCGCGTGGTGTCGCCCAAGTCGCAGAGATCAAGCACACCGCAAACAGCCTGACTTTGTGACGCGGCCAAGGTCGGAGGCATAGAAGCTTGTCAGCAGCCCCAAGATGCATGCGTGACCCGGCGTGACGGCTGCACTGCAATGACAAGCAGCTTGGCATCGTGGCCCCTGTAGACTGTAGTTAACCAAGACCTTGGCTATCGTGGGCGGCGCAGTGATAATCTGCGCCAAGGGCGCGACACGTCGATCGCCGCTGAGCGCATCTGACGACGTTTCTTGGCCATGACCGCGCAGAAGAGGCATTTCGTAAGGTATATATATATATATAGTCCCTTTGTGATAAACTGCGGTCGATATCGATCACCCTCTTTACTTGTGCATTCTGCGAAACCGACGATGGTCGCAACACGTGCGGAGGAAGAGTCGCAGCAATGTACGGGCACCATGGACGAAAAGCCGGTCACAGCGAGCAACCACCATTGTCGGACTCGAAGCCACATTCCCAAGTAGGCAACCCGGATTCGCACCAGTGGCCTTGGTCCTTGGAGGGAGTGATGATGTGCTGGGCGTGTTTCTTCGCAATCGCAAGCTGCTCCCAGGCCCTGTTACTGTAGGTCAGCGTCTATCTATCAGGACACTGCCAAGCCTCCCGGGGTCGCTGTCGCGGTTCGGCATGGGCGTGGCTGCTTCAATGCTTTCCCCCTCCCCTGGGCTGATTGCCAGGCTTCAACCCAGATAAGGTATCCTGAGTAATAGGGAGCTGTACGAAGAGTCTACCGTGCTAGTTCACCGCCTACCTGTCGACTTAGGGAGATAGTGTGCGAGTAGTTGGCAACTTGTCAAGGGCAGTTCAGGACAACGACTGGACAGCCTGGATGGGCAATGATGTTCGATATAAGCGCTAATGAATTAATAGTCGAACTTGGGCACCCCAGCAGCTGCCCAGGTTCCCCGCGATAATGAGGCCCGACAGTTCTGGACAGTCCACTTCCCGTGACAGCCGTAGCGATTAGTGCCCGTCGCCTACTGACGGGCTACTGTAGGGAAGTGGGCATGGTGGGTGGGTTCCGGTCAGAAGTAACGTCGACAGGGAGGGAGATATGGATATCAGCTGGCTGGCAGTGTGTTGTAGATGGGTAATGCCGCGACTATGCGGGGGAGGGGAAACCCTAGAGTGACTGTTTGCCTGTGTTAGGTCCAGTGAGACGAGTGCAGATAAGCTACATACGTAGGAGCACGATTTGAAGCGACGGGGTGTGGCTTAGAAGGTTAGAAATATGCATAGAGTAGGTAGGATTCCGATTGCGTTCGCTATCATCCACCCTAGACACGTCCATAATGCAAAAGTGACATATATGCTGCAACACTCGATGCCAAAGCTTCCTAGAGGAAGGGAGGTGAAATGACTTCTACTCCTAGGGTAGGCCTATACTGTACAGGTAGCCTTTTTGGTCATCCCCAACCAACCGTCAACGGAGAAAGTTCAGACAATATGCACTTAAGATTGAGCTTCCACGATAACCCGGCCAGTCAAGATGCGCGACACCAAAATAAGAAGAAAAAGCTAATAGGCCTAGATCACAGCTCGCGAGCATCCGACTCAATCTCCAGCTCCTCAGCGTCGGGCATAGTGACCTCATCCTTTTCGGCGCTCTTGACCTTGTTCCAGAAGATCTCGCCGTTCTCCGGGTCGTCCTGGAACAGGTGGTCGACCACCAGCTTCTTCGGGGTCTCGCCCATCCACTGGAACAGCGAGAAATCCCTGAACTCGTCCGAGCGGAACACCTCGAGCATCTCGATCGGCTCGTCGCCGATGTTCTCGACGAAGTGGCCCATGTTCCTGGGGACGATGCCGACGTCGCCGGGGATGTAGTCGAAGGTCCGGGCCGTGCCCTCGGCCGCGAAGATGGTGACGCGCGCCCGGCCCTTGAGGAAGAAGGACCACTCGTCGGCGTTCGGGTGCCAGTGCATCTCCCGGATGGCACCCGGCTGGATGGTGACGTGGGCGGCTGCCACGGTCTTGGAGATTTCGAAGTTTTTGGAGTCCGTGATGCGGACTTCGCCACCGGTAGTCAATTTGGGCTCCTGGTCGAGCATCCGGTGGGTGAAGTTGTACTTGGACTTCTTGACGTTCTTGCCGGTCGGCTTCTCGTCTTCGATCGAGCCGGGGAGGGAGCCCTGGAATATGTACTTCTCCTTCTCGGGAAGATGGGCGAAGACTTCAGGTGCGAGGTTGAAGTTCTTGGAAATCACCGACTTGGGCGTATGTGCTGTACCAATGTCAGCGCACGAATGGCGGACTACCACTCAAAGACGAAGACTTACCCAGCCAGTCGGACAGAATGAAGGTCGACTCCTCAGAGAAGTTGCCGTCGTCAAAGATCAGGAGGAACTCGGTGCCGTTCTCGCCGAGACCCTGAAGCGAGTGCGGGACACCGCTAGGGAAGTACCACAGGTCGCCCTTCTTCAGGTCATCCATAAAGTTGCCGCCCTCGTAGTCAATTGCGGTCACGCGGACCTCTCCGTCAAGCACGTACGCCCACTCGGCCTCCTTGTGCCAGTGCAGCTCGCGGATGGCGCCCGAGTCGAGTCGCATGTTCACGCTGGCAAGCTCAACGCTGGAGGGCATCTCTCGGATTGTAGTCTGACGCGTCCATCCACCTTCCTGCGATGCGTCAGTTGGTTAACTTAGAGAACAGGAAACCGGGATTCTGTCTTACCTCGATTCGCACATGCGAGTCGACGAAACTCCAGCGCATGTTCTGCATGTTACCATGGTCGGTGCTGGGCGGGCGCACCAGATCCGGGCTCTGTCGAGCGCGCTCCCAGTTCCACGGGCCCAAGACAGAGGCGCCCAGGCCATTGCGGTAGGGCAGTGGATCGAGCTTCTCGCCTATAGCATCATGAGCGCGATCGAGCGGGTCCTTGTAGTCCGGGTCGTAGGGGGACTTGGTCTTCTTGTTGTACGTGGCGGGGAGGTCAAGACCTGCTAGAAGATACTGCCTGGGACTATCCTCGACGGGGATGGCAAGACCCGAGCTGCTCAGTGCGAGGCCGGCGAGGAGGATGCGCAACGCTGATGCGCCGCCGTGGTTTTGGAGCTGCATGTTGAAGTAGTCGCTTGTCAATTGAGCGCAAACAAGCTGCAGATTGATATGGCGATACGCTGAGCTGCCGATTAAGACAACCTGCAACGAAGAGTAGGAAAGAGAAATGCGACTGCGACTGACAAAAGGTCAGGCGAGACGACGGACTGGACAAGAAGCTCGAAAGAAGCTCGAACGTGAACGATGTCGGCAAGACTGCACGGAGCTCGGCTGCTGGCCTGGTCCACTGCAAGTACCTCGTAGCACGGTAGAACCCTGCTGAGCCATAAAGTTCCAATACTGGCATGCGAAGCTCCCCCAGAGGCTGTCCAGGGTGTTTGCTCTGCAACGCCGAACCAAAGCCGAGTTACCCGGTCTTGAACGGTTGGAACCGTCTCACCGCGCGTAGACAACGTTGACAACCTGGCAGGAACCTGCCGTCACGTCTGAATCCAGGGTGTTGAATGGCGCCAAGGAGGCTCTGTCACACTCCTTGTCGAAGCTGCCGAAGACTTCACTGCTTCAGCGGTAGATGCTGGTCCGGGGTTTCGGCATTGGTCTCAGTGAACGCGGTAGAAAGCTTGGAATGGCTGGGGAGGATTGTCGATGGTGTTGTGAAACCTCCAACCTCGATGCTACGACTGGGATTCCTGCCTGTTTTGGCTACCATGATGCGCTCGGTATACTGTACCTGGCTTTGAACAGGCAGAAAGCATCGTTACAACGGACAGGACGGCAACACTTTCTCCATCTAATAGCGCTGGCGTCGGTGACTCGGCATTTCGTCATCCGCGCTAGACCGCTCTTGGATGCCCTTCCCGGCCCGCCGATCAGCTATCAGCAGCAGTTCGGAAAGGGGCGGATTTAGATCTCAAAGTCGCGCGCTCATCGCGACATAATCAATTCAACCATCTAACGCTCTCTCATACTCTTTGAAACGTCTGTTCTTGCGCCCGTAATTGGCCGTCGACACCCCATTCCTTAGGTCTACGGCTCTCACCGGTGTCCCCTCGATGGCTTCTTCGAATGGATATGGTGCCCTCAACGGCTCGGGCCGGGACAGCAGCGCCGCAGAACGTGGTGACGAAGAGCAGCCGCTCCTTGGGGGTCGACCATCGAAGCCGGGATGGCGCAAACTCATGACCATGGATGTCTGTCGAGACTGGGCTGATCTAGTCTTGCTCTTATGCTACATCATCACCGGCCTGCTGGACAGCGCTTCCATATCGACGTGGGGGTCTTTCGTGTCCATGCAAACAGGTCAGTCTCACCCTCCAACACCCACCCACACTAGCACATCATTCGAGGTCGGATACTAACTGCGCGCAGGCAACACGGTATACTTCGGCCTCGGGCTAGCCGCACCGCACGAATCGACCCGCTGGATCAAGTCCGGCACGTCCCTCGGCTGCTTCTGCGTCGGCTCCGTCTTCTTCAGTCGCTTCCACCGGCTCTTCTCGCCCAAGCGGCGCTGGGTGCTCTGCGCGTCCTTCGCGATGCAGATGCTGTTCATCGTCTCCGCCGCCGCCATCGTGACCTTCGGCCCGCAGACCGCCGACGCAAAGGAGGCCATCGGCTGGCCTGAGCTCGTGCCTATCGCACTGGTCGCCTTCCAGAGCTGCGGCCAGGCCGTCGTCAGCCGTGCGCTCAAGTACAATGCGCTGACTAGCGTCGTGCTGACTAGCATCTACTGCGACCTGTTCTCCGACGCCGAACTCCTGACTGTGCACAACCCCGAGAGGAACCGCAGGGTCGGGGCACCGGTGCTGCTGCTGGTCGGTGCCGTGTTGGGTGGACTGCTGGCGCATAGCTCAGTCGGCACCGCGGGCGTGCTGTGGATTGCGTCTGGGCTGAAACTGATCGTCGTCGTGGCGTGGTTTGTCTGGCCAGCAGAGAAGGAGTAGCCTTGGTCTTGTGGCCGTCGGGTATGTACTGGACATCGATCACTGCGCTGCTTCAAGGCACCTTAGACTCTGGGATCGATGGAATTGACGATCACCGATCGACTGCCCTGGAAGATGTAGCACCTACTCTGCTGGGTCGATCTGTAGATGTTGATAGTTCGAACTTGCAACAGCGAAAAACTTGGTCGAATCTCTGACACTGCCGGTCTCGCGCTCGTTTACAGCCGTTGTCGGTATATAAGCCGTTATCGGTATATATCGATTGACTTCGATTCACTTCGCGTAAGCATATATAAGGTATGTTGCGGTGGCATAAGCACCCGGGACCGCCAGCAGCCGTAATTCAGCAGGCAAGTCTACGTGCCTATCCCGCAGTGCTTATTCCGGTCACACCAGACCGCGAGTGCCTACTAGTCACCTTGGGTTGGTGGGTGTACTCAGATTCAGGTGGTACTGTAACGCAGAGGTTTGTAGGAAAGGTTCGAGCAAGATCGGGCTATTTGCGTAATCCTAGACTCGGGATCACTGACATATACCGGGTCCCATGTCACCTCTCTGGCGAGATGCCATGACTATTTCTACGTCCCTTGATGTCAGTACGCGGATGTCCTTGAGCTTATGAACGAGCTATCCCAACTGGTGGTCTTGTAAGGATAGTTCTATATACCAATACTAACCCTACGGTAGTATGCTGTGCATAGGCTATTGCTGGGTGGACATTTCGCTGCGCTTCCAGGGACAGCTGCAATGAGATTCATAGTCTACCATCCAACACACCAGCAAAGGTCCTGACCCGCCAGCCCACTGTGGCCATTCGATTGGCGATTTTGCCTCTCAGTGCCAACCGTAGACTGACGGGTCAAGTTACTAGTAGGATACCCGACGATACAAAGCAGCGGTTTATCACCATGAACTCCTCCGTCTCATACCCACGGATGGCCCATTCCAGTATACATGCGGCCGACATCGAAGACTCGACCTGTCTTCGCAACAGAGGTATCGGGGGGTTCGCCGGCCTAGTGACTCAGAACGGGCTTTTTTCGAAACAACGGACCAAACCGTCGCAAGACTTCAGCTCACAGAACTCGCCACAGATCTTCTTCTTGCCCACGTAAACGTTACATCCCCGAACAATCATGTCTCCCTTTTTGTCGGTCCCCAAGCTGCAAGTGTCATCGTCCACGCATTCCTGCGAAACTATTTAGTGTGTGAAAAGGACGAAAGCGGAAAGCCCTCATGGGTCGGCAGCTTGGGTGGAACTGTCTTACTCCATCAATACTTTCACCCCGGGCGACCAATGCGCCATGTAACCGATGTTTAGTGTTGCACTTGTCGCCCTCCCCGAGGTCCGACTCCGACGATGAGTGGGATCTGTCATCTAAGGCTGTTGCGCTCTTCTCCAGCAGCTCGTGCGACCGGACCCCGACGTCCCCCATTGATGGTGTTTCAAGCACGGCTGCTTGAATATGCAGGGCCAGAGCAGCAATGGCGGCAAGATTGGACAGCTTCATGATTGATGAGAGATACGACGTGATGAAATACCAAATGGTAGAATTGGGGAAGTTAACGAAGACTTGGATCTGGGGGCTTTGAGATTGTGCAGATGATGGATGGTAGGTAGTGCAACAAGTTGTGAGACATTTCAATAGTATTCGAACGTCCACGGCACTTAAGTATTCGTACAAAATAAAAGCTCAAGGCTTTGGCCATATGCCTAACATTCATCGGAGTGTTTAATAATAATGTATGACATACACTCGGTAAGGAAGAGGCAAAATACTCAATCGGGAAGAAAAAGGCCAGTGAAACGGGTGGCTAACTGTGGGGATTCCCTGTCTACTAGAGGATCCTGGAGAAGGGGTGGACCCCCTGACCGCGGCTGGCGCCTAGAGGGATCAAAGACCATGACTGTGCTAGGCCTTTAACGTAGTTGTTATATATATATATAAACCCAGTTTCGTACTTTAAATAAATTACTAAGTTTACAAGGTATACAACAATAGTTTAAGTGGTTCTTCGTATACTACCTAGAAATAAAGAGTCCACCCCTCCTCGAGGATCCTACAGTAGGCCACGGGCCGCTGCCTGATAAGTTAGGCCTTATAAGTCTATGTCCGCCCCGACTTGCGAGGCGGGTGTCATTGGTTTTAGACGTGGGATGCACACCCATAAACAGTTTCACTCTATCAAGTCATGCTTGACGCTTATGGCACCGTGGTTACTCACAGATCCAAAACACCGTTGAATAGCTACCTGTTTAGGACCTCGCTTGAGGGTGTGGGTACGAAGACTTCTGGGGGTCCAGTGTACCTCAAGGTCATTCTTTTCGGGTAAGAACAATATCGATAATAGGCAGAAGGGGCATCCAAGCACCCTTTGACTGTCTGTCGGCAGCTCGCCTGCTAGTTGGAGGCTTCACTACTCAAAGGTCGGCAGTGGTTTGCTAGGAGCAGAATTGAACCTTTGCGAAATATAATGCTAAGCAAGGTACGACTTTGTGATTTTAAGCAGACTATACAGAGGAGTCCGACTATTTGCACCTTGAGAGGTAGGTCTCCCACCTGCTATGCTAGCCAGTTGTAGCCACCTGTCTCAGCATACCAACCTCGATCTGATCCGCTAGCCTAAATGGACACTACGATCGGGTTTCGTACAGAGATGCCATACAGTTATAGATCATTACGTCCCTTACAGCTAGATACGTTAATCTGCTTAACGAGATAGCCATCGGTCGCGTCAGCTCTCATGGTGGTAAGCTTGGTGATCAGCCTGCTGCCAGCTGCCAGCAAGTGAGGGATCCACTTAAGGCGCAAATAGAGGTTTGCGCCCCTTCGAGAGACGGTGGTGCAAATAGTAGGACTCATACAGGGGCTCTACACACAGAGTTGCTTGTTCTGTTATCTTGACCCAGAACTTGAAAATCGCATCGAGCACACGCTGTTTCAGTCTTGCCAGTCTACTTATGCATGGGCGACGTTCCGGAATTCAGCGAATCGACGATCCACCCACCCGACCGGTAGTTTCATGAGCTTCACTGCACCAACGATCTGGTCCATCAGCTCTCTGCGGATCAAAGAATCGCCTAGTATATGCATCACCTGCGCGTCAGCGTGTTCGGGTGGACTCATCAGGGACTGCAACCTCATACTGCTGTGCGGTTCGGTATGGATCACAAGGACTTGGGATGAGTAAGTGCATAGCAGTCTCATGAGTTCGTCTTACTACGCAGTCATCGAACCAAAGAAGCGAGGCTCGTCCCCTTTCCCTACCAAAGAAGACCGCGGGGTCAAGGTCAACCTCCTCCGCCTTCATCTCCTCACACTAGGCAAACGACCCCATACATGACTCAGGCTGTTGAGACCAGTCTCAGAATGTTGCGGGGCCCCGGGCAATCAAAACCCCTTCGCTTCGGAAGCCGGTTGCCGACGGCGCTCCCGGCGCCCTCTATTAGCGCCGATCCATGCGGATTGGCAGGCTGGGTGACCTTTTTTCCGTCAGTCAGTCATATATCCACGCGATGTCACCCTGCAAAGATGGCCGCCATATCCTCTGGTTCCCGAAATCTCAGGACTGACAGCAGGTTCACCATCGCCGTCGAAGAAGAATATGGGATCACCAGGCCCTCAGCGTGCGCGGTCAGCTGTTGTCGACACCGAGAAAGCTGAAGAGGCGGGAAGGCCGCAGGGGCTCGAGATCGCCAACGCAGGCGAAGCGCCGCCGGCTTCGGCAGCGTCCAGGCCGATTACGATTGGGCGGGCGGGCAATGAGGATGAGGATGGCGAAATCAAACCCAAACTTCCGTTTTCCAAGGCGAGGTCCATCGCCCTGGTGGCGACGGTGACGGGCGCGAGCTTCTTGAATGTAGGGGTTACTGGCAAATCTCTTGTCTCCGCAGTTTATTGACGACAGGCAGACCCTTTCGATTCAATCCGTCGTCATTATCCTGCCGACCATCGGCCAGGACCTCAACATCCCAGATAGCAGACTGCAATGGATCGTCTCGTCCTACGCGCTCAGCTTTGGGTGTTTCCTGCTGCTTTGGGGCCGCATCGCGGATATATACGGCAAGCGCCGCATCTTCATCTGGGGCAGCGGCTTCGTGGCCGTCACTATGATCGCCAACCCCTTCTTGCCGAACGAAATCGCCTTTGACCTGTTCAGGGGTCTTCAGGGACTGGTGCGTTATGTGAGATCTTAGTCATTGTGATGAGTATTGATGAGGATTAGGGTGCCGCTGCCAATGTGCCGACAGCAATTGGGATTCTGGGAACGACCTTTCCGCCCGGCAAGGCAAAGAACTACGCCTTCAGTGCCTATGGTGAGTTCACCTCGGCCACGTCATATCCATCGCTAACAATTAATTCAGCGGCCGGGGCGCCTCTCGGGAGCGTTTTCGGCAACTTGCTCGCTGGCTTCATCGCCTCCTTTGCCAATTGGAAGTGGGTGTTCGGCGCCACTGGCGGTCTCGCGATCGTGGTCACGGCTGCTGGGATCTTCTTCATACCGCCTCCCCCAGCTCATCTCACATCGGGTAAAGACAGCGCCGGCTTACTGAGGTCGGTAGACTGGATCGGCGGGTTCCTCGTGACCGCAGGCATCCTCGCGCTGCTATTCGCGCTCACGGAGGGCAACACCGTAGGGTGGGACACCGTCTGGATCTACCTCCTCGTCGTGGTCGCTCTGCTGCTGATTGGCATGTTCGTGGCCTGGCAGTGGTATCAGGAAAAGCACACGACGAAGAAGCCGCTTATGAAAGTATCGGTTTTCAAGAACTCTCGGTTCTGCGCCGCGATGATCATCATGGCCCTCTTCTTCGCCGCCTTCAACGACTTCCTCATCTATGCCACGTACTTCTTCCAGGACTACCAAGGCCTCAGCGCCCTGCAGACCACGCTGCGATTCATCCCGACTGGTGTGGCGGGCGTGATCACCGCCTTCGTCGTCAGCCGTCTCATCTCTCGCGTCCCGACGTGGATCCTGCTCGTGATTGGCAACCTGGCCGTGTCGATGTCGTGCTTGTTGTTCGCGGTCCCTATCTCGAACGGCACTTCGTACTTCGCCTTTGGACTGCCGGCTTTCATTCTGTCGGTCATTGGCGCTGATATCACGTGGCCGAGCTTGACCCTCTTCACGTCGAAATGCCTTTCTCAGGACGATCAGGCGCTCGGTGGCGCACTTATCAACTCGATGGGGCAGATAGGAAGAGCGATCGGGCTAGCCATCACCACGGCCATCCAGACCGCAGTCATGGCCCAGGAGAGGGGCGTATCCGTCGAAGAATCTACTAAGATCTTGGTGGGGGATCCGGCGTCTCTATCTGGACTGAGGGCAGCCAACTGGTTCAGCTTTGCTCTGGCGGTCTGTTGCATAGTCGTTGTGGTTGTGTTCTTCCGCGGGACCGGGATTGTTGGGAAGATCGAGAAAGCGACGGAGAGATCGAATGGGGAAGAGGGCATCATGAACCAGGCAGATACTTCCCGCAAGTCATAATGTCGCGTCAATCATGGAAGTACTTGGATAGATCTTCAAATCGTATCTCCTAGGATCGACGGCGCTGGACCTAAACTACAGCTGCGAAGACTGGGTCGGTAATGACCGGACTATGATATTGATATGGCGAAATCCTACAAGCCAACTATTCTCTGACAACGCCACTCCGTCAGTCCTCTTTCACCCATGGCAATTCCACTAGCCAAGGCCACTAGACACGTATAATCCCATTTCTGAATTCCCGTAAGAGTAATGTCGTCCAGCAGTCGTCAGGAGACTGGTGGTTAGCTTTCTAGCCAGAGAAAACAGCACAACGAGATCCTTCTCGTAGATGCCTTGGCAGGAGGAGCGAGCCTCGTAAGTGTAAGGCAAGCACCGCAATGAACTGGAAAAGAGTCGGGTCGAATGTTCTACAAGCGTTTGAAGCTCGGGTATAGGGAGTAATCGTACTGTCTGCACGATGAATACGCCTCTGAAATGTAGCGGTCGACCGATGTGTCGCTCCTGTTGCGTGATGGGGAGGGCCGCAGTCATCCAGGTTACAGATGAAAGCCGTCATCTTGTCCTGTTCAATCCGGGCTCGGATGGGATGAGCTGGGTCAGGCAGTTGTTGGAGTGCAGCTTGCGGGGCCACGATAGCCTGCTGCAAGAAGATCGCATTCGCACCCTGCAGGTTTTCGGTCTGCATTCGGACGATCGCCGCCGCTCTGTCCTGGATGAATATATTCTAATAATCCCTGGATGGGAAGCCTGCCAGCATTGTCACTGCTGCCATGTCATGTCCCTATTGTGCTGCAGACTACACGTAAAAGTTAGTCCACCGCTCGGACTCGCGCCCAATTGCACATTGGTGTACCTACTGCTTTCACCAATTTGTCGCCGTGTCCCAAATGAAGATTGAGGAACAGCTTGTATTTGACTTCGCCAGTGCGCGGAGCGGCACTTTCAAATCCGATATCCTCGAACCGTCGAGCTGACCGTGTCAAAGCATGGCCCTGACTGGTGCGCTCAGGACGCATCGCGCGTAACTGGTCGCTTCTGTTCTCTTTGGTGTGGTAGTCTTAGCACTCTCATGGCAGAATCGGAAGAACGCCGGGGGTCGTAGCTGTGGCATGAGGGGCGGTGATCAGCCTGATTCGACGTAAGGCGCTTATAGTGTGGCCTTGACTGCTTCTAATAGTTTAATGAAATGGGCATGCCACTCGTCGGACTTGATTTTTGCCTCGCTCCTCTTTTGTAGACGGCCCTGTGTAAGCAACACTTGGAACCTCTTCCGCAGTAGGATTGCTCGGCTCAGAGCCTGCGCGACGTAGCGTGGCACTCTTGTCTGTCGTCCAGCCAGGAATCTTGATAAACGCAGGATATTGTCCGTTCCTTGGAGCAGATGGGTCGGGCATCCCTCTGCTCCGCCAGTGGCTGTGAGCCAGCGAGTGAAGACCTGGGTGGCTTGTGTATAGCGGTCGAAATCGTCTTCCTCCAGCGGTGAAAGCATTTTCGGCTGTTTTGGAGTGGATGCTCGGTATGGTGAAGACAGGAGGTCCGCCGCGTTTCTGGGGAGAAAGATGATGGTGGAAGGCTGCACGATGCACCCTTTGTAAGTTGTGTATGGTTGGTTGTGGAAATCAGATTTGAGTGTTGCGTACCCTTTGGAAAATCAGATGACGTGGAAACGGTGATGGTTTTGTGTAGTTGGATGATGCTCGGCCAGTTGAATCTGTTGGTGACACGCGCCCGACGCGTCTGGTCGTCGTGCTCTGCATTGGAATTGGAGCTGGTTGCCCAGAAACCGTCTAGATATGCCTACTCGTGTGTTGGGGCCCATGAAGGCTAGAAACACAATATACGCGCCTGAACTCCACCAAGTATCTCGATTGCTTATGCGGTATTACCCAATTATTTGCATTTAGTCATGAATAATACATCTACGATCCAACGAGGATCGCCGCTTGCCCCTCATGCGTTTATGGTGCTCCGTGGAACATGGAAACAGAGAAGGAAGTCAATCCTAGCTGATAGTCTACATTGGTCAGTACTGAATATTGGGTCAGGCTCGTGAAATTATATAACGATCTCGGGGGAAATTGTTCACGTCTCAATATCGCTGGCGCTGGATGACTAGTATTGAAAATCGGCGAAAGACTACAAACGCATGCAGGTATTCCGACAAGCCATCAAATCCTTGACTACAGTACGAATTGGGTGCCTGCCGAAGATGCGTGTGTAGTCGGCGTACATGAAAACCTGGTCTTCTTGACTAGCAGCACATTTCGGTGGTCAGAGAGACTGCTGAGCATGAGTTCTGGGATATCAAGCCTGGGATTTTGGTTGAATCCGCTTCGAGTGTTGCAAGACCAGTGTGGACGTTCGTTGCTGGGGTTGTCTGTTTGCCTACCATGGAGCAACCCGTAGGATAAACACTGCAATTACTGTGGTCGGAAACGTATCTAGCCATCTGGCTATGCTTGCGAAGAAGCTAATTTGTTTGCCTAATGATGAATGATGGATCGGCCGGCTGGCTACCCACCTTCAAGAATTTGATTAACGATCTATCCAGTTCTGACTGTATGCAGATGATACACCTAGGCAAGCATTCGAGACCTGGCTATTATACAGTGCTAAATGACTCTATTAGTGTATAAGTAGGAAACTCTAGAGGAGGCTTGCTTTTAATAATTCTGGTTAGACTTAGAAGTTTCTAGATCTGATCGCTCGGATGGTTTGAAGCTATCTCATATTGGCCAAACACATACCTCATACTCACTTTGGACCGAACTCGTCGTGTATAGGAATGAATGAGGACCAATTTCAGGGAGTACGAGGACAGCACGGATGTGCTTGGTATCGATTCCAGACAGGGACCAGGGTCCTACAAGGTGGCTATTAGTCTTTGTCCTGGCAGTTTCTTGACGGAAAGAAGGAATAGGTATGGTCCATACCCGGATAGCTAATATCCCAGGTAAGATAAAATTTGTAGATGCTAATTGGGGTTCAAGGTACTTCTTTTATGTTGGCGGTGGCCCGTGGGTCACTGTGGTCGAAAGGGGGTTGAAAATAGGCTGAAATGGGGTTAGAAACGGGTTGGAAATGGGTTGAAAGTGGCCGGCACGGAGACTGCTCATGGGTCGCTCATGAGCGGCTCATGACCGCCACTACACCGGAACTACATCGGAGCTATTCCCTGAATCCTTAAGACCCACCTCCTAACCTAAAAATTCAGACACTTTTCTAGCAATAAAGAGGTCCCCTGACGTGTTCCTCTTCCCCAAACCTTCCAAGCCGTCTACGCACCAAGCGTTTCAGCCATAAGCCATAACGATGTCGACCAACGAAGAGAGATCAGCTATTGCTCGCAAGCGTGGGAACGACTTGGTTCGCAAGGGTCTCTTTACCGAAGCTACCAAGGCCTACTTTGAATCACTGAAATTGACACCCGATGACCACACACCGCTCGCAAACCTAGCTGCAATGAAATTCGAGCTTGGAAATTACCCGGGATCGGTCACCTACACCCAGAAAGCGCTGCGTCTCTTCGACCATGAAGATGATGGCAGCCCGAAAAAGCAGAAGCTGCTTCTGCGATTAGCAAAGTCCCACGTGCTGTCGCTTCAGCGAAAGGAGACTCAAGACGTCGTCGGCATGCTAGCACCCGGTGCGGAGCGGGACTCCCTCGAGGAGTCTTTCTCTATCACCGTGGCACAGCACGCCAAACCCTCACTTCAACAGAAGTCTTTGAACGACTTCCGAGATACAGGCCTTTTCTGTAAGCCATGTTGACCCGATCTACATTCTGGTGGTACGCTCTGACCAATGCAGGCTAGATGAACCCGAGTACTATCCCGTTGGCCACGACACAGCCTTCCCTCAATACGAAAATCGCGTCATGAATATACCTGATGAGAGGCTATCATGGCTTTTCGCCGGGATCGGAGATGCTCGCCACTCAATCGTGACCCTCGCTACGATTTAAGATTGCGAGTTTCAACAGCTTTAGACTACCCGGAAGCCGTTCTTGCACTTTACACTCCTCGATCTGAAGCCCGCGGCCCTTGCCAGAGACCTACTCTTCTTTGAGCTACTCTCCGACCCCACGGCTCAGGATACCAACAGCGAAACCATGGCCTGTGTCATCTACGTCTACTCCTCTCAGATCATGCCGCAATTTGCGTATGACAGGATGTAGAAGGCGTTGGGCAGCATCGTGGACAAATTGCAAACACGCAAGCCTGTCGCTGACTACTTGTATCTTGCGGAGTCCCAAAGAGCGGCCGTGTGCCATCATTTGATTGCTTGGCAGAACCATCTCCATGGGAAATACGACGCGGCATCTTTTTGAAAATGGGGCGTAGAGCAGGCGGTCGGGGAGGCGATGAGCAGACTCTCGGGTCAGGGAAAAGCAGAGGACAATACGTTTCCAGGATGTCACGGGGACGCCACCACGTATCACTTGCTTGGCTTCATGGCTCCGAACAACACGCTGCTGCAGAAGCATTAGCCCACCCTGAAGAGGCTCATCCAAGCATTTGCCGCAAAACATGCCTGCTCGCACGACAAGCTTGCCGAGTACCTCGACAACAATTGGAAGCCTAATGTGGCACTCATAGACGTCGAATGGGATGCCAAGCGGGAGGTCTTCGAAGGCGATCCCATGCCCTCGATCCTATGCAACCCTACCCTAACGGCCAGAAAGCTGTGCCGTGCTGTGGTTGGCGGTCCTAATTCTCCAAAGTTCAGTACCCTGATGCAGTACTGCGACTGAACACATTCGCTTTCAAGGGCCACGAAGAATTCCTGTCGGAGTATACTCTGATGAGTGATATGAAGTCCATCGAAAGCCACTTCGGTGTCACCCTCCGAGAAGATTCGTCGTCCCTGACCAATTGGGGAGACAGAAACCTAGCTCTCAGCGACTACACCATGTGGTCTGCTACAGGAACCAAGTCGCACCCCCTGCACAGGCTGATGTCTCGCCCTGCGCTGGAGAGGTACATATGCGCGCATCTGCTGAAGACTTGTCTACCGTACCCTCGGCCCAAGTTCGACAACGAGCTCGTGTACGCGCCTCTGAACCTGAACATGGTGTTCAGGCTTCTCTTCCGCATGCACGAAGCTGGATACCCAGCTCATTGGCTATCCGGTATTCTGCGAACCATGCTCGAGGGAAAACTGACGACGTCGGTCAGGGCCCCAAGGCAGATGGTCCAAGACCGAGTGTCCGTCGAGAAGGTCCACCCGACGCTCACCTTGAGCATCAAACCTTGGGTGGCGGCGCTCAGTACTCTGGGAACCATCTGGCAGGACTTGCTACCATTCGGATTGCTGTTCCCGTCGGCCCTCTTGCGCCAGCGGAGCACCGTCAGCGAATACCAGATATCGTTCCCACCACACCATGACAAGGCCCTCGGCAGACCACATTTCATGCTGTTCTTTTGGGACACCAGTTCTCGCCTTCCGCCCCGAAAGATTCGCAAAACTCTGCTCGATGATGAACTGGGGGATCGCTCGGAGAAAGTGAAGGGCATCCGCGAGTCCGGTGTCCACGTCCTGACAACATTCAGGTGGGCTACCCAGACGCGGACTGCCTCGTTCTGGCTCCGGAGTGATATCGCGGAGAGCTTGCAGCATGGGGATTGGAGGGCGTACGTGTGGCGGACGGACACGTACGAGAAGGCGACCGAAGGCGTAGCGGTGCAGGACGCGATCAAGGAGGTCAGGCAGTGGGATGATTGAGCAACTCTTCTTCTCGTACAATATGCGAGGGCACGAGAACCGTACATTTACGTTTCATGCGATCCGTCTATGCTCTCATCTCCTAGTTGGTATCATCACTGTCAGAGCTGCGGAGTGGCAGTCTATGAGGCTCAGTGCAAATGAGTACGACAATAATACACTACATTTCCATCTAGTCGACCTGTCCCGAAGCTCCATATGCTCGTCCGCCACTGAGTTGTCGAACCTTCAACCATCACTCTTGTCGTTGCCACTTCGACCTTCTAGGGGCCTTCGGCCCCTCAACTGTCGTGGGATCGATGCCCAAATAGCTGGCATACCGGACCTGCAACGGCGAGCTATCTTTCTCGAACTTGTGATGTTCTGCCTCCGCGATAGCGGACGCCGGGCGTGTGCAGCGTTTGCTCCAAACCTCAAAAGCAGTCAACCCTCCCTGCGTCGGGACCAGCTTGTCCGTGTGTTTCACGACCGTCTTACGGACAAGGTCCAGGGTGCACGGCTAGGTCTCGAGTCAGAGAGACTGTCGTGTTTTATAAGGTGCAGGCTAAGGACCTAACTCACCAAGACGAATCTGCCCAGGCTTTCATAGAACCCTTCTGCATTGACTGTGTCCTTGAGATAGTCAAATACGATGCCCGAGTATGCGGTGAATTCATCCCATCGTCCTTGGTCGATGTGATGCTGTATCCCCTGGGGCCCTAGGTAGTCCAATCCGTCTTGGTTAAAGGCGTGGATGACGGTTTCAAAGGGCAATGCTCCGGCTTGAGCCGGTGTAAGAGTCCCAATGAACGCCGCTCTACGCCGGACGTGTACGCTCCGAAGTCTGGGAAACTGATTGAGGAAACGCATGTATTGGTAAGTGGTCGTTTCGACGCCTGTCAGTGTGGTGACCTTGACCCTCTTCGTCTTTGAGAGGTAGTGGACGAAGTGTTCAACAGCCCTGTCGCCCCGCAGATGCCACGACGCAATGCCATCGATGAGAGGCCAGGCCTCGTCTCGAAACAGGCGGCAGGTCTGTACTAGGGCTAAATAGGTGGCTGGCAGATGGATCCAGAACGGTGCTCGCCATTTCTTGTCAAGGCTACCGCTGGCGTGGGGATGCACCTCGCAGGTGAGTTGCGATGAGTCGAGCGCATGCCGGTAGATTTGGAGCCGTAGTTCAGCGGGTATTTCCAGTAGACAAGCGCGTGGTGCTTTGCTGTCTGTAGCCGGCGATGTCGTCGTCATCCTGTCGGTATTGCAAGCTGTCACTTACACGTCGGGGGTCGCATGAGTGCTTCCAAGTTGTTGGAGGGGAAGAAAGGGAAATCTGGATCGGGGGCACCCTCCCTTTCGTCTGGGCAACCACCGGTGCGGGGCGAGGATTGATCCGTTAAGGCAGGTCATATGAGTGGACTAACCGTGTGGGACTCTATTTGCAACTAGCCCCTATTTGTAACGCGTCCGATCCTGTACTAAAACAACCCCTTATTCTTCGCTTTTTATAATAACACAGTTATAATGAATAAAGGCTTAAAATAAGGAAGATTATAACCGATTTTGAATATTAAAACTTTAAGGCTTTTTAACTAGTTATTAAAGGCAAGCTATTGACTTAAGTCGCGCGCGATTACGATTTTTTTCGTTTATTGTTTTAAGCGAAGTAATAAGATCTAAAGCTATTAAATATTTACCTGATTTTAATGATACCTAACCTTAGATTTTTTAAAATAAATAAAGAATGTAGCAAAAAGCCGGTTCTAAAATGATACGTTATAAGATTTATATATAGAAAATATAAAACATTTAAAAATCGAAGCTGTTCGAACAGGCTTGAACGATCAATCATAATACTCGAGTATTGGGTCAAGGTCATGATGTTGCTGATGGTTGGATTGTGAGGTCTAGCTAGACTTGCAGGTCTGGCTAAGTGTCCCCACAATCCGGTATCTAATCTTTTATCTAATCATAGATGTGGATCTGGTATGGATGGTTTGAAGATTGGAATTGCATAGATCCAACAGAAGCCATATTAAATATACTGTGACGTTCTGGTCATACAGTACGGTAGCCCGAAGTGGTGAGCCCGGAGCCCGGCAACCAGACGTCAGATACATCTACCACTATAGAATACCAGCTGCCAGCTTGGTATTCCACATGCTTTTGTGGGGGAAACAGACTGTTGGTATGGTGGTCAGCACCTGGTTCCGTGACATATACTTAATTAAAATACTTATAAGGCTTTTTTTAAAGCTAAATATTAAAATCGGGCATCTTATAAATACTTTACATATTGAAGCAAGCTTTTCGAAAAAATACGGAAGTTTTAAAATAATTTCAATAATACGGGTGCGTATTATAAAATTATCAGGTAAAATGAATATAATGTAAATACTGTTGGAACAGGCTTGAACGATCAATCATAATACTCGAGTATGGGGTCAAGGTCATGATGTTGCTGATGGTTGGATTGAGAGGAATCTAGCTGGACTCGAAGGTCTGGCCAAGTGCCCTCTCAATCCACTATCTTATCTTATCTAATCATACATGTGGGTCCTGGTATAGATGGTTTGCAGTCTGGAATCGCATGGATCCAACAAATACAATGAAAATTGAAACAGATAAATTTGATAATAATATAGTAATAAAAGCCCCGCGTAAACGTCGTATATACATTGCGTAATTAAAAGCTACTTTTTAAGTTAGGTTTTTAAAATATATCAGGTTTAAAAGTATACTTGGCACTCTTATATATATATTTGATAGTAAAAGACATTATACTTGAGTTTTTTTGGATAAAAACATCTTCAAACCAAAATATACGGCTATAAAAGAAATAAAGCAATAAAATAATCGTTAATTAATAATGAAAATAAAAATTTAAATTAAAACGAAGTTTAAAAACTTCGCTTACGATCTTTGATCTTTAATAACTTTACTATTTATATACACTTTTAATTTATATAAAAAATATAATAAAATCAAATCATCCTGAATGTGACGTTCCATATATGTGAATAGCACCTGGAAGCCCTTGTTTACTATGTACGTATAACTATCTCTGGCTGAAGAGGAAAAAGAAGATCAAGCGACACAGCCAAATCTGGTGGGCAACTAGATAAGTGTGTCCGCACCACAATTCAAAGCCTTAGTAAGTCTGGGACAACCAGTCGTCCAAGAGGTCACGTGCTGTCACGTGATCCCAGGACCATCACGGATGGTAGCAACGTAGCAACTATCACATTAATATATCTCCTATATTATAATAATAATAAAATATAGCCGCTTAACGTAAGTATATTTTCGTCGTTTAAAGTAACTGAATGTAGCTAACAAGCAAGTTAGCATTATAAGTAAGTTAACACTTGTTATAAACTCTTTAACTGCTATATTAAATAATTCTATCATAACGTATTTAATTCAATCCCAGTAATTATATTTATTTTCCTTGAAAGTTTTTATCTTTATTGTATAAGTCCGCGCATTATAGCCAGTATTGCCGTATATGCTATACCTGTCACAATTCCGTAAAAGTATTAGAAGGATAGAGTGACCCTTATTGACTATTAACGTATAACGAACTCTCGTTAAAGGAAAAGAAAGATCTAGAGATGCATCCAAATTGGTGGGCAGCTAGATGTGAGCAGTCGTCCCCAACCAGACCCACCAAGGCATGGATCAACCTATCGTCTGATCAGTCACGTGCTCAGTCACGTGACCTGGAGACCATAGAGACCATTGCTAGACCTGATGGATGGTGGAACCATCACAATACCGTTGCTCACGTGCTGCCGCCTTTCTTAAACGACAATTATTTTAACCTATTTACTATCTTACTAACTTAATACTATCATTTACAGCCTGAAAACTTACTGCATTTTTAATAAAAAGTATTCCTTTTTTTACTAGACGTTTATTTTTAAAAGATTTTTGCGTTAATTTGATATATAAGTGGCTTTTTTAACCTTATGGACCTCGGAATTAACTAAAGCAACCCTGTATATAAGACCACATATAGTTTTTTAAAACGGGTTTACTATATTAATAGTTGATATAAGTGAGCTTTTTGAATAGTTTTTAATTTTTTTTTATATAAACCAACTAACTTACTACTTTATTAATGATAATGAGCGTTTTAAAAATTTAAATAATAAATAATACATTAGGATTTAGTAATAATATTCGTATAATAGTTATAATATCTAGCTTTAAAATAATACTTTTTAAGTTAAAACCAACAAAGTTAATATCATTAAAACTTAAACGTTTTTAGCATTATATCAGTATTATATGCTTTATAAAACGCTGCAAGAAAGTCTTCTTTTAAAACGTAAGTTATATGACGCCGGATAAAATCTTTGATTAAAAAACTATGAGCTCGTTTAAGCGGGTTAAAAGAACTAGCATTTAAAAACTAGAGCTTATATAATGAGTAAACAAGTATATAAAAAGTAAGAATGCTGTTATTTTAACGATAATTCTTAAAGACTTAAAAATAAAACTTTCATAACTATTTAAAATAAGGGAGCGTTTACTGGCGGTTATATGCGGGTTGATATACGTATTAAAATGCTAAATCCATTTTAAACCGTTGTTATTTATAGTTTACTCGTTATTAAATATAGTTACCTTCTAATTACGTTATAATGTCGTATTGTAATATTATAACGCAAAGTAAGTTTAACTTTGTAAAATAATTAACGGTAAGATTATTTAAATATCAGCAATAATAATAAAGATTATTATAAACTATTTTTCATTGCTTTATTAAGCTTGTTTAAGCCTGCTACGTTTTTCGGCGCTTACAATAACTATACTAGACTTAATTGTGCCTATTATAAACCTAGTCTTGTTAAAATTATATATAATCGCGTTTTAAATACTATGTTTATGGCAGATTTGAGCCAATCGTCAGAGTGAAGTGTGTGTGTGTATTCTCCCTGTCTAGAGTGTCCTTGTGCGACCGTCGCCGTGTTGTGCCAGAGGGGCCTGGATCGGGACGGAACAACTAGGTTCCGTTGTCTACCTGTCAGAGTGCCTTTTGTGTGCACCTTTAATCCAACAGTTCTACGATTGCCGCCTTAATTTAATAAAACCACGCGCGATATATGCTTAAATTTTCGTTTAAAACGTTTTAGTAATTTATTTTCGGATAAAAACGCGTCTAAAAGCCTGATACATGTTTAATAAAGTTTCGCACTGAGTCTTTTTTGACGCCTTTAGCTTTACGCGCTGCTAACAATTAATTTGCTATATTTTAATATAACTATGCCGGGCTAAGAATGCTGGCACATTTAGGTCGAAAATAAAGGGAACAATTAGTATTTAAAAAAAGAACCGTAAGTTTTGAAGTATTAAGTATGTTATAGCGTTGTAATGGAAGTGTTTTTAATTTTAATGCTTAAAATAAAACGAAAAACGTTAAAAAGTTGTGTAAGTTAAAATATAAAAATATAAAGGTTATGTCGTTTAGCTTAGACAGCTAGCTCTCTGTTCAATTCGGTATAACGCGGTGTAATTATTATTAGTATAGATACAATTGTTTAAATCGTATTGGTTAGAAAGTTTATAATATGAATAAACTCGCTTGTAATACCAGCTCGCTTATCAGCTACGTTACCGTTAAAAAATACGCTTTTAAACTTATATATTATTATAACGTTTATTTATAAGTAAAAAATTACTTAAAACTTATTAAAATACTTTTAGAATAGCTTTTATAATAAAGAATATGACGTTTAAATAACGATGAGATAATTTATAACAACTTCATTTCAAAATAATAGTTTATTAGGTTTTAGAAATACCGTTTTATACGTTAACGTTATATATATTTATTTCATTATAACATTTAAACAGTTTCAAAAACTGTTAAAACTTAAAAAGATTAGTTTTAACGTTAAAAGTATTGACTAATAAAATAAGTAAAACAATTTCTACTTACTCGTGTAAAATCGCTCTTTTAAAGCGAAATGAATAACGTATAATTATAAGGCTTGGTAAATACGTTTTTAATATACGTGAAATAATTAGAAGAAATTAAAATAACGTATTTATAAACTTATTAAATATCCGTAACACTTGAAATAAGCGCGAAAAAGCTTATTTTAATAGGATTAAATATACAATAAAAAATTGATAGATTTTTTAAACGTTAACCTTTTTAAAAAAAACTAGGAAATAAATATAACTTAAGAGTTAGTTAAAAATGCAATTGATTTACTACGTAATTTACATGTATAAGGCTC